ACCCCTAAACCCTAAACCCGCTAAAGAAGACTGCCTGCGAGCATCTTTGAAAACAGTCTGCCAGCTTCGCGGAAGTCGCCCAGGAGGGTTTGCAGCTGTCGGAGACTTCCTGCATTCTGCTTGATGTAAGCGCCTTAATAATTGGAATAGGGTTTTGGGAGTATAATATACAATAATAATAAGGAAATCCCAAAATAGTATAGGTAATTATTACGGCCCCTTTATTGGGGTACTAGGGTTCATTTAAGGCTTAGGATGTAGGTTATAAGGCTTTGGGGTTGAAGTTTAGGATTTAGGGTTCAGAGCTACTCAGCAGATAAGCTAGCATAAGAGGGAGGAGTAGTGAGCAATATGTTTAAGGGACTTCACTGCCTTTAGGTTCTTGCATGACAAGCCAAAACTTGTGAGTCTCGAATGGCTCCAAGCGCTATGGTTCGGGGTTTCAAAGTTTGTGGTGCCAGCACCCAGTCCTCTGTGAGGTTGCTTTGCAGCTCCAGTGTGCACTCGTCCTCCGGGGGCGCGGGTGCACCGGCCAGCCAGACGGTGGCGAGGGCGACGAGACGGACGCCGAACATCGTCGCCCTCTTTTTTGAGAGGCAATAGTAACTTGTCAATGCTCCTTCTTGGCTCCTTTTTACAACTTGGCAGCACTTTTCCCTAGAAGACCTGTTCTCATTATAAAGGGCCCTATTGTGCTTACCTGGCCTATTACTGCGACGATGACTGCGGCCGCCGTAGAGGAGGCTTGCATGAGTTGCAAAGATTCCTTATACTCTCTTCTTCAACAACAAGGCCCAAAAAAGTTCAAACTTTTTAAGATAGACTTAATATATAGGGCCAAAAAGTTTAAAGTTCTCCCATTACCTAAGTATAGCCTGATCGTGCTGAACATGGAGCTTGGGCCTCCAACAGCGCCTTAGCCATTGGGTCTACTATAGAGGCCTTAACAATTAGAATGGGGTTTTGGGGGTTCCTTTAAGTGGCTCCTTAAAGGGTGCTATAAGGGCTACTATAAGGGCTTAGGGTTTAGGGGCCTTAATAATTAGAATGGGGTTTTGGGACATATTATACTGTAGTTGTTATAATAAGGAACCCCCACACTAGTATTGATAGTTCTTGAGGCCTCTATATTAGCAGCACACGCATGAGAGAGCGAAAGTACGAGCATGAAGCTCGTGAACATCTCCGAGTAGAAGAGAGCCCGACCGTACTGAGCACAAGTCCGTTTGGTGCCGTGACCATGGCCCTGCAAACGCCGAAATCGATGACGACCACCTCCGGCAGGGTGCTCAGGGCGATTCATGACACGATCTCTGGCTCTTCAAATGTTGATCGCGGAAGAACAACCCTCCTTGCCAGGAGGGGCATCTCAAAAGTAACCCTAAACTTTAAACCCTAAGCCCTGCACCGTGGCCCTTTAAAATGGATCCCACGGGCTTAGCCCTGAGACCATGGGCCTTGCTAAGCAGAACTTTGCAACACCGTGGAAGGCCCGGCGAGAGCTATCAAAAGATTCAGACTTCTGCTCCTTGCCGGGAGGCACGGCCTACGTAGTAGTAAGTAATGTAGGGGGGCCTTTATAATTAGAATAGGGTTTTTGGGAATATATTATACTATAACTATAATAAGGACCCCCCCTCCACAATAGTATAGGAAATTATTTAGGCCCCTATCTTAGTAAGGATTACTCTCTCTGTTAAGCTATTTAACTTCGGATTGAACTAAACCTACAGGTTTCCGTTATTTCGGTAGGGCCCGAAGCTCTGCTTTACAAGGTTTTTTAGGGTTTAGGGTTTAGGGGGTTAAGGGTTTAGGGTTCAGCAGGGTGTAGGGTTCCCTGTATCTTCGGAGCCAGGCCCCAATTGCCCCAGGCTGGTACCCTCGCAAGATCTCGGAGAACGGCTGTGCGCCAGGAAGCATCACCCCCGCCACGGTTTAGGCTTTAGGGTTTAGGGTTTAGGGCGCACAGGATGCTGTCATGGAGATTCTCTTCAGCAAAGCCGGAACCCATGACGGGAGATGAGGCGCAGAGTAGTGGAAGGCGTTAAACTTGGACAGGACCCCCCCTCCCCCCAAGATCTGGAGACCTGCAAAAACGCAGCCCGACATTCTAGGGTTTAGGGTTTAGGGTCTGTAAGATAGCTGTCATGTTCCGTGAAGGTAAGATATTTGTGGGACGCTGCCGCTGTAAAACCCTGAACTCCCATCCTGAGATCACGACCCTCCCAAACCCTCAACGGGAACGCTAAATTCCAAGGTTGAAACATGGTCCCCTACTATGGGCCCTTAAGCCTGGGATCCTTATACACCTAGTTTATGCCCCTTTTGTACCCTGAAGGGTCCCGAGCAAGGCCTGAGGGTCCATATTATTGGGGGCCCATACTTTCAACCTTAGATCAATTGAAACAACTACAAGTATGGGGGCCTTGATAATTTGAATAGGATTTTGGGGCACATTATACCCCACTTAGTTTATTCAGGAGCCCCCAAAATAGTTTTGGTAATTATCAAGACTCTTTTCTTAACCCCCCCTACCCCATCCTCTAAGCTCCTAAACTTAGCTGCTGACTTCGTAACTCATTCAGCTGCTAAATGAAGGCCACGACCCTGTAGCTTGGTTGCCAGAACGGCAAAAGTCTCAAGCAAAGGACATGACAAAACGACAAAGGAGCACACGAGAATGACAAAACATGACAATCATAACAAACGAATGACAACCGTCTCTAATATTTGCTGCTTTCAAAATCTCTGCCTGTGGATGTTGTCCGCCGCATAGTGGACCCCCAAAGCAAAAACATGCATGACATCCTTTTCCCACAAGCCCTGACCTTGTGACAACCCTGAGCCGCTTCCACTTCTGAACTCCTAAAGCCCAGACGCCACGAAGCCCCTGAACCCTACACCTTCAGGTGCCCTCAACCAGTAACTTCTGAACCTTAAACCTAAATCCGAAACCTCTCAACCAGCTAAACCCCTAAAACGCCGGACCCCGACCCCAAAACCTGAAAACCCCTGAGCCCTACATCCACACACTTATGGCGGCCTTAATAATCAAAATAGGGTTTCGGGGGTTCCTTTAAAGGGCTCCTTAAAGGGTTCTATAAGGGCTACTATAATACTACAAGGGTTTAGGCTTTGGGGGCCTTAATGATTAGTCAAAATAGGGTGTCGAGGTATACTTTACCAAAATTATAACCGGAGCTCTAAGCAATAATGTAGGAAGCTACTCTCTATATAACCCCGCAAATCCCTGCAAACCTCGCGAAACCTTAGCGAACTACCAACCCCTTAAGACCCCGAAACCCTAAAAAACCGATAAGCCAGAATTTGCAAAACAGGAACTGTCAGGGAACTAGCAACCGGACCAATCCTTTAAACCTCTAAGCCCTCAGACCCCTTAAGACCCTCCAACCAGCCCTGCCAAGCTGTCGATTTGGCCTCGGGGTGCCGGAAGTCCCGTGACTTGATCATAATGTTGGGCTCCTGAATTTTTTGGGGAATGTTGGGTGGGGGGCTTAGGATTTCGGATTGCAGTGTTGGGCTCCTGATCTAGGTTCCCCAGTGACCCCCTACTAATAAGGGTTACCCTTTTTCCTAATATTGGCTTTTAATAAGGAAGCCCCAAAACTGAAAGGGCAAAAGGGTACTACTCGGGAACCTAGTGATTAAAGGAGTTTGGGTGTAGGATTGGTTGAGTGCTCAAGGTTTGGGCCTGAGGGATCTACTGTGCTAGGGCTGAACCTGGATCTAGCTTTAGGGTTTAGGGTTTTTTTTAGGGTTTAGGATTTCGAACGCTTTATTGACGTTTAGGACATTGTTGGGCTCCTGGATGAGGCCTGGATGAGGCTATGAATAGCTGGGCTGTGCGCTTGGGGCCATTGTTGGGCTCCTGGATGAGGCTATGGATAGCTGGGCTGTAGTTTTGGGGGCCGTTAGAAGTATTCATGAATGGGCACCTCTATTAGGAACCATAAGGGGACATCCACGAGTTTCGCAAAGGGCCACCTAGTTAGCTCAGTTCCATCATTCTTCTTCCTCTTCTTCTTACTTGAAGGGGCTCCAGGTTGAGGCTATGCTGAGTACGCACCGTTCTTGTTCTTACCACGGTTACAAAAAGCAATACCCGATAGTCTGTTCATTTCGTGCCGTGGTTTCTGCATTTGGGATTCATCACAATCCCCGACGTTTGCAGCATCTTCGACGGGTGTCGGTGCGATCGATCTTCGTGATCGTTGTTCGGGCATGATCGGCAGTTCTGGTATCCACTCTCCATCCCAGAGAAAAACCTGAATCGGAGTGTTTGGCAAGCATAGACTCCGAGGGTCACCAAACAGACGTTCACTGTGCACTCATCAGGAGATTCACTTCCACAAATCCGAAACACGGCCCCCTGCCACTTCTGGTGAATGCGTCGTCATCTTAGCTTCGATAGTGATAGCCACCCTAACCCTAAACCTATAAACCCCCACGTCTTTCGTCGGATGTCCTCTCAGCACCTCTGGACCGACCACGACGACCGAGTTGGTGCTTCGGGGGGTCTTGCATCGCGACTAGTTCGTCCGTGCTGAGTCACAGTCTTCAAGCAATTCATGAAAACACCGAAACCAGGGCACTTCCTCCCCCTCCGCTGTTTTGAGCGGATTCAAGCCGAATTCCGACTACATGCGCTCAAAATGCTCCTTGCTCTGATTTCTAGAACCATTTATTGAATGGCATTTGGTCATTATTCGAAGTTCCCTACTGACTACCCGCAAAGAACCCTTAAACCCCCCTTTCATCCCCCGAAAGAACCGCTATTGAACCCACGATGGAGCCCTCAACGAATCCTTATAGAACCCTCATCTTAGTTGCTGAGTTCATAAGCCTCCAAAAGAATATTATCCCAAAAAGTGTAAAGTGTATCTGCTCAGCTAGGAAGTCATAGATACCTTAGAGGAGCCTCTCCGAACCCTCAAAAAGCATCCGACCTTGATGTCGCAATGCATCATGGACTGCTCGTGCATGAACTCCAAAGCCTGCTTGCTGGTCATTCGGGAGGCGCAGGGCTTAGGGTATAGGGTTTAGGGTTTTAGGGTTTAGCTTTTTTGGGGGGTTGTGGGGGCTACTACAAGGGCTAAAATGGGGGTACTACGAGAGGGCCTTATATAGTTTGCTGCTTCTATGAAGGCACTAGTTGTTAACCTAAACCCTAAACCCCTAAACCCTACACCCTAAACCCTAAACCGGGTGTTAAAGTTGCGGCTATCAGGCTCGGCTTGAAACTCTCTTGAATGGGGTCCGAGAGTTTAGGTTGCTGGGGTTCAATGTTCGCTGTTTAGGCCTGCAGGGCTTAGTTGTCTGCTGGCTGTATCTGCAAAAAATCATCAGATGCCCGCTAAACCTTATATAGGGGCCTAAATAATTATCAATGTTATTTTGGGGGTTCCGGTTCCTTATTATAATTGTAGTATAGTAGACCTCAAACCCTATTCTAATTATTAAGGCCCTATATTATTCATCAGGTCAACGGATCCTTTACCCAGAATCCTGTAGGCCCCACAGGTATCCGTTCCACGGTATGGCCAAAGACATCAGGGGTTCCTTTTGCTAGCCTCTAACCCCTATCCTTACTAGTCGGGTATCATGGGGAACTAAAGGTTAATCTTTGGGGTTATATAGGGGTTATATAGGGTTGTACTACCCCAAACAGGTTAAAGGTTACCTACCCGACTACTAGGTATCCCTCAACCCTTTATCCGTTGCCTGATCCTACAGGCAAGGGTTACGATTATAATGGCACAGTACTTACTATATACTCCCAAGCCCTATTCCGAATGTTGAACCCTAAACCAGAGAACCCAGTACCCATTAATTAAGATATAACCTTCAAGTAGAGGGGCCCTAATATTATGATTTCAGGTAGATTCCTTAATTACGGGGTGTTGGGTTCTCTGGGGAACCCCCCAATATCTCGCAAGGATCGAGCTCCAAATTTCCCGCGGACGCCCCGCCTCCGCGCACTGCCGAAAGATGCCGCGCCACCAATCCTGGCGCCCCGGACAGCTATCGACGTCGGTTTAGGGCGGCTCGATCGATTTACCCGAAACCCCGACCTATCCCCAAAGCCCTAAACTGCGCAGCGTAGGGGTTTGGGGGGGGGGTAGGGTCCGAGTTTTGAGGTTTGAGGGTCGGTTTACGAGCTTCTCTTCTACAAACGATTGAGGCAATGGGTTAGGGGCTGCAGAATTAAAGGTTCTGGTCCTACGTGCTTTGGAGGTAGGCTGGAGATTTGGGATTACAATCGGATGTGGGTGCCCTATCTTGGCTTGATTCGATCGTGCAGCTGCGTGCAAAAAGAGAACGAATCTTTACCAGGCTTCCATGATGATTTCAACTCTTGCAAGAGCCCTTGCTAGCGATGCACCGCAATGCGGATACAGTCGCCGATGTGAGTAGAAAACTGTGCGTCCCGTCCGCCAGACCTCCCCGTGCAGTTCCCCAGACCACCGGGAGGATCTAAAAAGTAGATCCCCTAATTTGGGACCCTAACTACCAAAGGGTACTTTATAGGAACCCCTTAGGGGATCTATTTTTTGGATCCTCCCCGTGCAGTTCTGAGCCCCGAAAATGGAAGCTTGCAGCGGCTGCTTCAGCCCCCCGTGACGTGGCGTAATGTGGGGGCCTTAATAATTAGAATAAACCCTAAACCCTAAACCCTAAAAACCCTAAACCCTAAACCCTAAACCCTAAACCCTAAACGGTTTTTGGGGGTATATATTGTGGTATATTTCTACTCAGGACCCTAGAGGCCCCGATGCCCTAAACCCCGATTCCCAGATTTTTGGGAGGATGAAAAAAAAAGATCCCTTAAGGGGGTTCCTATGAAGTACCCTTTCGTAGTTGGGGTCCCAAATTGGGGGATCTACTTTTTAGATCCTCCCGGTGGTCTGGTCTCATTCTCTTGAGGCTCAGGGTCGTGGCGTAATGTGGGGGCCTTAATAATTAGAATAGGGTTTTTGGGGTATATATTGTGCTATATTTCTACTAAGGAACCCCCAAAATAGTGTTTGTAATTATTTAGGCCGGAGGCCTCTGTCATCTATACTAAAGCCTTCTGATTTCTGTCTCTGCGGAGCTGAAACCTGAAGCCCTTAAGGAACCCTCGAAGCTCTTACAACACACTCACAAGACCAACTTTCCCGAATGGACCGAGGTTCAGACCACGAAGCCTGGGGCAGCTTCTGTTCTGACATTCGGGTCCACCGAAAAGCACGATATCTCTGCCAGGATCGAAGGATCCCAGTATTTGAAGTAACCAGGGAGAAAAAAAGTATAGACTTTTATTTCATAATGGTTCCTTTAAGGAACAGGTCCCCCCAAAAAAAGTATTCAAGTAGGGTACTGCAAAGCCCAGCTAAACCCTAAGCAGACCTCACAGACTGAACCCCAGGTCACTGAAGCTAAACCCTAAACCCTAAACCCTAAACCCTAAACCCTAAACCCCTAAACCCTAAACCCCTAAACCCTAAAAACATGGCGCGGGCCTCTGTCATGGGCACCTGCTGCTCCTTGGCGCGTTGAGTCAGCGTCATGAAGTCACCGCCGTGGTAGGGCTCGCCCACCATGTAGTAGAACCTGAGGGTTTAGGGTGTAGGGTTTAGGGTTACGGGTTTAGGGTTAAGGGTTTATAGAACCTGAGGACTCTTGTAACAGCAACAGTTGTGGCACCGAGAGCAATGTCGACCGACACACTGCTACCCATATAACAACAGCACCAAAAGCAGCTGCAACTTCGACTACTACGACGACGACACAACACTCTGAAGTCTTAGTCCTGCTCCTACTCTTCTTCCTACTACCACCGCCACCACTGCCTGCCTGCTTGCCTATCTGCCTACCTACCAGCCCACCCACCCACCGAACTGCCTTCCCACTTACCGTCCCTCCCTTCCTTCCTTCCTTCCTACCTCCCTTCCCGGCCTAACCATCGCCAAGCGAAGCCCCGAAACGACACATCCTCAAACACCTGGGAAGATCTGAATTCCGGTGAAAAACCTCCTGGTATCACCTGGCTTCCCCACAGGTCCAACGAAAGTTGGGCTTATAGGGCCCCCAGAAAGTATATATGCAAAAATTAGGATAGGGATATCCCACATACCCCCCTTATAATGAAGCCCAATAAGGTCGGGTTCCTAAGCTTAGGAGCCTGACCAAACGCTGTCGGAGCTCTGGGCCTGCAGACACCAGAGCACCGCACACCAGCGCCGAGTCCCCGGCTGAGCATCCTGGAAGATCTCGAAGACCTGGGAGACTTCGGCTATGAGGGTCGACATTCTTCTAATTCGGGCCGGGGGGGAGGAGCTCAATCGGTTAAGGGTTTAGGGTTCGGGAGGGGGGGGGGAGGCGTTGAATCCGATGTCAGGTTGGTTTAGGGTTGGTTGGCTTCAGCAGTTCGGAAGGCAGGGAGAAGCAGGCTTTAAGATGTAGCATATACAAATGTGCATACGTACATATGAACATAGATACAGGCATACGATATACTATATACTATACGCTTCAAAGCTTTTATAAAGTTGTAAAGTTATAAAATACTGCTCTGCATGTGTACACATACACATACACCAGCGATGCAATGTGCACACCGTTCGGCATGCTGTATATATGTATGTATGTATGTATGTATGTATGTATGTATGTATGTATGTATGTATGTGTGTGTATATATATATATATATATCAGACGCACACGTGGGGCCATCGGTTTTGGGGCTGAGAGGTTTGGCCTCTGAGCCGGCCGGTTCATCCAGCTTAGACTTTCACTTCTAGTGGGGCTCTGAACCTAGTTTAGGGTTTAGGGTTTAGGGTAGGTTTCGCAGTGACCCCCTACTGATAAGCGTACCCTTTTTCCTAATACTTGGTTTTAATGAAGAAGCCCCAAAACAAAAAGGGCAAAAGGGTACTACTGGGGAACCTAGGAACGCCTCTACTTGGAGGCCCAGGGGACTTAGTAAGTAGGTTATAAGTAGAGTTATAAGTCCCCTAAATGGAGTTACCACAATTATAACTCTACTTATAACCGACTTACTAAGTCCCCTGGGCCTCCAAGTGGGTATTGGGGAACTAAGAACTAAGGAGACTAAGGAGCCTGAACCCTGAACCATAAGGTTTAGGGTTTAGGGTTTAGGGTTTAGGGTTTTAGGGTTTAGGGTTTAGGGTTTAGGGTTTAGGGTTTAGGGTTTAGGGTTCCAGCAAACTGTGAACTCAACAGCCCTTGACTTCATCAGAGAGCCCTCCACAGTAATGCCAACTTTAATCTTAATTTAAGAAAACGACCATGAAACCTTCTAATCGAACCCCAATGAGCATGTAAACCCTCCTAGGGCCCTGAACCGAAGCTCTTTCATTCATAGGCCGGCTACTTGAAAAAGTAAGTCTTCTCCATCTAGATCAAACTACAGCTTAGGTTTAACGTGTAGGGTGTAGCGAGCCCAGAGAATTAGAGTTCTTCCATGGGCTACGTAACGCAAGCTGGCACTGTCTCTCCCCCACCTGGGCGATATTGTCGTGCGCCAGAAGCTGTAGCCTCAGGTAGAGCGGAAGTAGGTGGGCGCGAAGCAAGGTCATGCTTGCTACGATCCCAATTCGGGGAATACAAAACCTTTGTTTTCATCAGCAATCTTCCGATCCCCTAACGAGGGTTTCGGGCTCAGGCTGGCGCCGGGATTTTAGAGCTTTCTTGGGGCTTGGGTTTAGTTTGTGTCTAGGGTCTGGGCAGTGTAGCCTGCATCGCGATAGTTCTTCTTACCACTTTCATGCCTACTGCTCTTTTGCCCGTGAGGGTTGAGATGCCGAAAGATGCTTGCTGAATGTCTCTGCCTTTCTGGAGTTTTCGGAGCCTTTGTCGTGCTTATTTGATGCAAAAGCGGAGAGCCATGACGGTTTGTCGTGATTGGAGTTACTGCATAGCGTGGGGAGACACAGAAATCCACAACCAAGCATCGACAAATAACTTTTTTGGTCGTTGTTTTGAAGCATCAGGAGACTTAGTAAGTGGCTTTGGAGTGGGCTGGCGTCATTTTTAGTACCTGACACCGCTTACAATCCTCTGAGCCTCCTACTCAAGGGGCAGGGGGCATGTGACGTAGTAACAGGTAGAATGCAAGTAAGCTTTTGTCGTGCCTGTTCAAATATTCTTGATGGAGAAGTGCAGCGGTTGTGATATCAGCGCACTTAATAAGAAGTAGGCCAAAATTGGGAGTAAAATTCTCTAACTCGGATTACCCCGCTTGCCACCTAGGTTCTTACCTAACTTACCTCCTAGGTCAAGTCCCCTGATGCCTGTAAAAGGGCAAGCCCTAAACCCTAAACACCCTACACCCTACACCCTAAACCCCAAACCCGTAGAAGGGACTTTTGGCCCTCAACCCTTGAACCCGCAATGCTGTAGGGCATAGGCTCCTTACTATAACTCCGTACCCAGAGACTCCAATATCCCTTAATTGAGGAATATTCCTTAAATTATAGTAGGATCCTTAATATGATTTCAGGTATATTCCTTAATTAAGGGATATGATATTGGAGTCTCTGGGTATACTATACCCCAATCTAGTAAAGCCCCTATAATAAGGCCAAAAGGTAGAACCCTTCTGTACTCCTATCGAAGTACGCGCCTAATGATAGTCATCATCTTGATCCTAAGACTAGTCACTATTGCTATTACCATTGCTATGAATATCTGCTCAGACCCTTGGGAGGATTTAAAAAGCAGATCCCTCCAGCAGGCTCCAATAAAGCACCCTTCAGTAATAGGTTGCCAAAGGTCTACTTTCTAGATCCTCACCGGGGGTCTGGCTAAACCCTAAACCTTAAACTCTTACCCCCTAAACCCTACACACAGCCCCGTAAACTCTAAACCCCGAAACCCTAAGCCCTAAACCCTAAGCCCCGAAACCCTAAGCCCCGAAACCCTAAGCCCCGAAACCCTAAGCCCCGAAACCCTAAGCCTCGAAAACCTAAACCCCCGAAACCCCTAAGCCCCCCAACCCCCAACCCCAAACCCCAAACCCCAAACCCTAAACCCTAAACCCTAAACCCTAAACCCCCGAAACCCTTTTTGGGATCCCCGGGGCGTCTGAAACTCTTCTTGGAGCTCCTCGATGCCTGCGGCACTCATCCTGGCTTTGCATTTGGGGCTGAAGGCGGTTTAGGGTTTAGGGTTTAGGGTTTATGGTTTAGGGTTTTAAAGCTTAAGGGTGTAGGGTTTAATCTTTATGGTTTAGGATTTAAGGGTTTAATCTGTATGGTTCAGGATATAAAGGTTTAATCTGCATGGTTTAGGATTTCAAGGTTTAATCTTTATGGTTTAGGATTTCAAGCTTTAACTTTAGGGTCTAGGGGTTTGGCGATTAGGGTTTAGGCTGTAGGATTTCGGGGTGTGGTCTTCTAGAAGGGTTTCAGTTCTCTGGAACAGGGATATATCTATATGTACATCTGCATATATATATATATATACACACACACATACACATGGTTTTCTTGGCTTTGCCACAACAGCAGAACTCTAAACCCTAAGCTCAAAACCTGACTCTCGGCTGGGCTGCTCGCAAACCCCCAAGCCCTAAACCCTTAAC